GGGGTGGTTTATGGACGGTTAGCTGTAGTCTTTGTGAGCATGTAGAAAGATGACCCTTGTCTTAAGAGACAATAAAACATGACACCACTGGAGACTCTTTCTCCCATCCCACGGGCAAGAGTACAGGAGCTTAGGGGTATGCTCTGGGATGAGTTGACTCTGAGTGTAGACTGGGCCTTGGTGTTATAGAACCAGTGACTTTAGTGATTGCTTAGAGAATGTCTTGTTCTTAACATATATATGCATGCTGAGCCAGACAGTGATTGCACACGCCTTTAATCCCAGCACTCAGGAGGCAGAGGCAGGCAGATCTCTGTGAGTTTGAGGCCAGCCTGGTCTACAGAGCGAGTTCCAGGACAGACTCTAAAACTACACAGAGAAACCCTGTCTCGAAAAAGAAAACAAAACGAAAGATATGTATGCTGGAATATTTAACAATGAAGAGCAATGAAACACCACGGCCAAAGCAACCTGGGGAGGAAAGGGTTTATTTGGGTTACACTTCCACATTGTTGTTCATCTCTGAAGGAAGTCAGGACAGGAACTCATGCAGGGCAGGAACCTGAAGGCAGGAGCTGATGCAGAGACCATGGAGGGGTGCTGCTTACAGGCTTGCTACTTTATTGCTTGCCCAACCTGCTTTCCTATAGAACCCAGGACTACCAGTCCAAGGGTGCATCACCCACAAGGAGCTGGGCCCTCCCACATCAATCCCTAATTAAGAAAATGCCCCACAGATCTGCCCGAAGTCCAATCTTATGGAGCCATTTTTTTTAACTGAGGTTCCCTCCTCTCAGATGAGTCTAGCCTGCGACAAGCTGACTTAAAACTCGCCATCACAGAGGCCATGTTTTGACAGCTTGCTCTCAAATGATTCAGCCATAGGCTTGGGAAAGAGTCCTGGTCTCTTTAGCCACTTACACTGGGAAATGAGTGGGATTGGGGTGCATGATGTGAAATTTCCAAAGAATCAATGAAAAAAATATGTTAATATTTTTTAATTAAAAAAAAATAAAGAAAGCCACTTATGTGATGGAGGCAAGATCATAAATTTAAGGTCATCCTCCGCCACAAAGTAACTCTGAGGCCAGTTTGGGTCACGTGAGATTATTCCAGGGGATCAGAGGAGGAAATGGATGTGAATATAGGTCAGTGATAGAGTGCTTGCTTAGCATGTCCCAGGCTTCATCCATCACACACACACATACATACATACATACATACACACACACACACAACACACACACAAGAGTTCATTTTCTTGATAAACTGCCCAAAGACTTAACGCATCTTCCTAATTCATCTTATTGTCCCGAACAACTGGCAAGGATTAATAATATTCTATTTTCTTAGGCTCAGTGCTTTCAGATACTAATTAAGGATGGAGAATAACAAACAGATTGTAATAAAGCAAATATGGACTCTGCCCCAGGAATCACCTAGCAACCCACCTGCAGTCAACGGGTCAGTTTGAGAGTACAGATGAGGGTATAGAAGAGAAGACGGGGAATCCCACACTAAGCACATAGTGAACTCTGCAGAAACTCCCAGCCAGCGTCTTCTAATCCAGCGGTGCGCAACCTTCCCAGTGCTGCAACCATTTAATATAATTCCTCATGTTGTGGTGACCCCCGACTAAAGATACGGCACAAGAGAGTTTCGCGGGTCCCCTAGCAGGTGAGGAAGGTGGGAGGGAAACAGAAAACGCCATGCAAAGAAAGTTCGAGTATGGAGAGTTCTATTTAGAGAGTATTGGGAGGGTAGGGGTGGGGGAAGAGAGAGGGGGAGGAGAGGGGCAGAGAGCTCCCTCTTCGGAAGGGGAGAGAGAGAGACAGAGAGACAGAGAGACTTGGAGTGAGCGGAGCTTCTCTTAAGGGGTCTTTGCATCTAGGACCCTGGACTAACCAGGGCACTGCCTGGACATATACTGCCAGATGACAGGGCAGGCCAACCCAATGCCTAGATCCTAACACCAGCCATAAAATTATTTCATAGCTACTTCATAACTAAAATTCTGCTAATGTTATGAATCATAATGTAAATATCTGATATGCAGGATAGCCAATGTGTGACCCCAGAGGGGTCATGGCCCACAGGTTGAGAAACACTGTAAATTCAATTCTGACTGGCGATCTCCGCCTGAACTAAGCATCACAGTCCATAGGTCAAGGGCTCCATGCCCAGAGCTGCCCTTACTTGTACTTACTTGTACTTACTGATTGAAAACCCCGGGTGGTCCTGCCCAAGCTTGTGACTGTCATAGAAGCTGGTGTTCACACAGATTTTCCAGAGGCCCAGTGAGTTCACTTGAGCCAGCTCACAGGACTCAGGAAACACATTTTCCTATTTACTGTAGATGACGTTAGAAAGGATACAGATGAGGCAAACAGCTCCGTGAGGGGCAGGAGGGGGAGGGAGAATCCACACCCACTTGAGGACTCTTTGAGTCCATATTTTAGCCAGGACATCTCCACCCCCCACCTTCCCCCCCCCCACCTCCACCCCCGTCTCTGGCTCTCAGAATAGCTCCCCAGATCCTGTTCTGGGTTTCCATGAAGGCTTCACTGCATGAATATGAAGCACGGACCAGGTAGAAATGTGATCGGATCAAAAGGTCTGATCGGATGATAGGCTAGATGGAGAAGCCAGCAAGGTTTATCTTCATGGCCGCTCTGGGCCACCATACTCTCCTATCCGGTGCGGGATCCCCTCTGAAATGGAAGTGTTCAGACTTCCAGAGGAACAAGAACTTCTCTGGCCTGCCTTCAGGGTGGAGGCTGCAGCATCAGGGATGGCAGATAAAACTCAAAATGAATGTACCATCAGGTCACATCTGACAGCCTGTAAGTTGGAAGGTGGAAATAGAAAAAGAACTCGCAACTGAAGCAAAAGTCATTTCCAACCCGGATTTAAGTGTAAGGTGTTTCAAAAGGTCAGAATGCAAACAAACCGTTCCCAATTAGAAAGAAGGAGTGTGGCCCTGCCCCACACCCTCAAACCTCTCCTTTGTGAGCGCCCTGAAAGGATGGCACCCGTGGAACCAGTCTCACTCATCTCTAAAATGGGTACCACAGCAGCATCTTCCTCCCAGGACTCATAGAAGGGTGAAGAGAGTGAC